CCAGTAGGATCCCATGGTCTGCTCCCCAGGATTGACCACATCATGGTCCTGTGGATCAGCCATCTCTTCTTCTTCAGTAATCTGTAGTTGTGCTAGCGCCTCCTCCGCAGCCAGTCGCGCCTTTAGAGCCCGCTTGAAGTTCCTGCAGTTCCGTTCAAGCTCCTGGTCTAATGGTAATAGATCTCCCGACTGGCTACGGGTCATGCACTACCTGCACACAATCAGCAGAAACAACCCGTGAAGGCCACAGGTGGAAGAGATAAAATGCAATAAATAAAAAGCTAGAGTAACAAATTCTCACGTTTCCCCAATAACCTAGAGGGTCCTTGGCAACGGCGCCAAAAACTTGACACGCCAAAACACAACACCAAACTGTGACCAAGTGTGATCGCAGTCCGGGAATGCAGTAACAGGCAAGTTCTATTATCAACCCGGGGTCTAGATCTACTGCTTACTCCGTGATTATTTATTATCTAACCAACTAAGTCGAGTGATTTGTGTTTAAACTAAAAGCAGCAAGAAAGCAGGAAATTATTCGGTTTTCTCAAGCAGGAAAGAGTCACTCGGGAATGAGTCCCCCTAGCTCCTTAGTTAGGTTTCAATTGTATTTCCATGGGTTGATTTACTGTTGATTAGACTGCGGAAGATCCGACAGTAGCTTGGAATCTCTTAAGCTGACCAAGCCCTCTCAGTCTAACTACCCGGCAGACGACTAGTCTTCACCGGGATAGAAAGCTGAAGCAGTAAGCACAGAACTCCACTACTGGAATTGGGTTCCAGTACAAAGCAGTAAACTGGCTAACTCTCGTATAGCCAATCTCCTACTACCGAATGATGAGACTCTAGCAACCTAATCAGATTCTATCTATCTCAGATTGCAGCAGGAATCAGGAAAAGTTGATCAGACTTCAATTGACTCAATAAACATGCATCATTCGATTAAAATCAAACAGTAATATCATCCCAAGTCATTACAATCAATCCCTAACACATAGAACTAGGGTTCTTCATCCCCAAGTGAGAGAGGGGTTCTACTCCATAGAGAGAGAGAGGAAAACAGTAATCGGAGTAGTCATACTCATAAAGATGAGGAAAATCTGCTCCGGGATGATGATTTCAACTCCTAGGACGATCTCCAAGCTCGATTCGATGAAACCCAGCTCCAAGATAGCTTCTAGGATGTGTTCTTCGTACTTTCTCTCTCTACGGCTCTGTTTTTGCTCAAAAAGTCCGATCTCCTCACTTGTGGCTCGAAATTGGCTGAAAAACCAAGATTTCCCGACTCGCACGGGCAGGCCACACGGCCGTGTGGCTCATCCAGTTGCCCGTGTGAGTCAAAACGCGGCGTATCAATTAGTTCGATCTTCAGGATTCCCACACGGCCAGGGTCACACGGTCGTGTGGGATTTCCATCCTGCCCGTGTTTGCTCTCGGCGAAAATCACACGGCCACAAATGTGATTTGCACGGCCGTGTGATGTCCAGGGCTGCCCGTGCGGCTTCCTTAGCACCTCGCCACGCGTCCGATCTTCGTCCAATCGACCCCAAACTCGCTCTCAAGCCTCCATTCACGTACTAGGACCTGAAATATCACAAACAAGCACAACCTAGCGTGAAATCGGCCTAAAACACGAGAGTCAACACCTCAAACGGTGTAAGAACAGGGGTAAAAACATGTGTAATTAACGGTCTATCAGCCCCCATCAGGTCATCCATCACGCCTATCTCCACGGTGAAATTGGAGGCTCTACCCTGCGGACGATCAGTCTGCCTCCGGAATTGGAATCCGTCGTTGCTAAAGGAGACGTAGAATTTCATTCATGCTTGCTTGTGTGGCGGGGGAAGAAGTTTCAAGGGCTTGGATCCATCCTCCCAACGCTTCCACCGATCCTCTTAGTCCAGCAACCGTACCCTCCACTTGATGAACGTCATCATGGACGGTAGTATGGACAACAACATGGAGAGTCTCTAGGCTGGCTTCGAGGGAGTCCAACCTCTCCTTGTCGCCGGAAGCGGGTTTGTGGTGATTGCTAGCTAGCTTTGGCTCTTTTCTATTCCGTAAAATCTCTTCTGCTTTCTTATTCCAATTCAACCTCCTTATATAGAGTGCTGTAAAACCGAAAGAAATATTGGGATTCACATAAGATCATCTCAAATCTCATACGATCTGGAGAGATAATCTCCCTACACCTAAATTATATGAAAACAAATCAAATTGTACCAGCAACAATCAAATTTGAATGATATAAAAACAAATAAACAAATTCCGAAGTAAGAAACAGTGGTTCCTCATAGATGGGCTTTTGATAGACCGTTAGTTACACATGTTTTCACCCCTGTTCTTACACCGTTGGAGATGTGGTTTCTCGTGTTTTAGACCGATTTCACGCTAGGTTGTGCTTGTTTGTGATATTTCAAGTCCTGGCAAGTGAATGAAGGTTTAGGAGCGAGTTCGGGGTCGATTGGGCAAAGATCGGGCGCGAGGCAAGTCACAAAGGAGGTCACACGGGCTGCCCTGATGTTCACACGGCCGTGTGAAGGAATGGCCTGGCCGTGCGAGTTTTGCCGAGAGCACACACGGGCAGAGCAGACAATCCACACGGCCGTGCAAGTGGCCAGGTTGGCCGTGCCACATTCTGCAAGAGCAAACACGGGCAGGAAGGAGAGTTCACATGGCCGTGCCATTCTGGCCGTGCAAAGAGCCTGGAATTCAACTAAGTGATACGCTGCGTTTGCTCACACGGGCAACTGGGTGAGCTGCACGACCGTGCCACCCTGGCCGTGTGAGTCGGGGTTTTCTCCTTTTAAGCAGATTTTCAGCCACAATTCGTGGGGGATTCGAGTTTTTGAGAGATAGAACGACTTCTAGAGAGAGAAAGTGACAAGCAAGAGTTCCCAAGTGCCCTAGATTGATCTTCAACACCATTGGAGGCCAGCTTGAGCTTGGAGAAGTGCCAATCAACGTCCAGAAGCAGGAATCCATCCTTCGCAGAATGAATTCCGTGTCTGATTCTGCGCGCTTTTGCTTTCTTCTCCATGGAGTAGTTCTCCCATTCATCTGGGTATGGAGAACCCTAGATTTGTATGTTAGGCTTTGATTGTATGAACCCAAGTACTGCTTCTATGATTGATTATATTCGATTGAAGTTTTAATGATTGAATGACTTGAATCCTGATCAAATTCCTGTTGTTTCTGCTTTAACCTAGAATGAGAATATCTTCCTAGGTTAATAGAGTATCCTTGATTGAAGGTAGGGAGTTGGTGACTTTAGTCGAGGAACCAACTCACTATTCTGTACCGGATTTACTCCGGTAGTGGAGGTTTCGTTCTTAGGGCCTCAATCTGTCTACTCCGGTGGAGGTTAGTCGCCCGCTAGAGATTCAGATTGAGAGGGTCTGAAGACCTTTAGTCGAGACTTCAGGCTGTTTAAGAACCTTCCGCAGTATAACTTTCATAGAAACTGAACTTGGTAATTACAATCCGGCTTAACTGCAGTCTAGGGGGAACCATATCCGGGTGACCTCTTTAACCTGAATACAACCGTTTACCTGCTTTGTTAGTTTGATAGTTTAGACTTGCATTCCAGTTTCATTGCTAGATAACACGAATTCACTGAGTAGTCATCATATCTAGGACCCGGGTTGATAATTAAACCCAAACCCGCTATGAAACACCCTAACCCGGCCGGGTACTACTTTTACTAAAATGCCCTTGATAAATAAAATACTCAACTCTTAAAATTTCAACTGGGAAAAATTTTCACAAATAACATACTTAAAACACACACTTGTAGTTCAAAGCAAAGCCCTAACATGTGGGCAAATTGAACTCAAACTTTAACATCACAATCTGATCTCCAGTCTATACTCATAATCATAAATTGCAAATAACTAGGTAGTCACTGTCGTTGCCGCTACTGAAAATCTTAACTAGGCATCCTCCGTGACACTTACACTGCCCTTCTCTAGCTGGCTGCCCTTGAACTTGCTGTTCACTAACAACGCCTCTAGCTCCTTCTCTAGCTCGTCAAACTGGTGAGTGAGATGGGGTCAGTCTACGCCCTTACGTTTTAATAATTCTCATACTTGAGTATTTTACTTAAACATTTAACTTTAACTAGTGGAAGTTGTTTGTACTTAAAATCTTAACTCTTAAACTTTGAGGGAGTTGAAGTTACTCTCCTCTCTTAAAAATCAAATCTTGACTTAAATACTTGACTGACACGGGGATCCCTCACTAGCTAGTCCGGTTGCCAACTCATACGTATGAGAAGCCATCCAGGCTTTCCTTAAACTTAAACTTAGTTAGGGAAGTCGTAACGATTCATCCCCCTAACATCTTAAGCTTATCGTGGTGGCTCTTCACCCCGATTCTCAAGAGCATAACTGCTGCTCATCTTAAAAGTATCAAGAGCATAACTGCTGCTCTGTCTCAAAGATCTCAAGAGCATAACTGCAGCTCTATCTGAAAATCTCAAATGGCAACGGACTGGCGCTAGTGACTAAAAACACTTAAAATGACTTCACCATCTTTAAGGTGGGTTACTTCTTTAAAAGAACTTGTTTCTTACTCTTTAATAATAACTTATACTCGTAAAAATTTCAAAGTAACTAAAAACATTAACTTCAAGCATAGCTCAAACAAAATCACCTCAAATAGCACAAAATCATCTCAAACCATAACTCAAGCAAAGCACAAATAATCAATCATACACATAACCAAGCAACGATAACCAATTCGCTAAAATACTTAAAATCATAATACGTAAAAGAATACGTAAGGAAATTTACCCTCTTTACATTCACCTTACTCCCGTCGGAACTGGCTATGATTTTGTTCCAAAGTTTCCATACTCGCTTCCAAATATTACACTCGTACTTGGTTGGACCAGCTTCCAAATATTATAATTGTGGTAGCTGCATCACTAGCCGCCACTTTCTATCAGCAAGTGTCATCTCCCATAAAATGATGACGCCATCCGAATCTCATGATAGAAGATAATGGCTCTCCAACTTTTTTGCTCTGAATGCAAACTTGGCGCCAGGAATCCAGTGAGTGCAATTGACAGGTGCCTTATGGCCGGGAAGAGTGGTCAATATCTGAGTAGTCTTGGAGCAGAAAATGGCAACGGGATCCTGAGAACCGAAGGAAATGAGATCACAGGCGCCCCACGAGACGTTATTCACAATTCGATTGCATCCTGCGGCGATGACCACGCTCTTGACTATGACCTCTTCACTCTCCGTCATTACTGAATCAGTTGTCGTGGTCTAAAGCAAGAAGCGACAAAAAGAAAAGAGAAGAAAGAGTTGGAAGTTTTCTGCTGGTATTCGAAGAGCAAGTAAAGCTCAGAAAGCGGAGAACCAGAAACTGGAACAGTAGAGAAGAGAGAGCGGCCGCTTTTGCCAAGATGCTTCTCGGTGGAAAAATAAAGGCTGCCAATTGCTATTCGGGCGAGGCAGAGTAAAAGTCTTAGGGTTTAATTAATTTGAGATATTATGGGAATCTCACAATTACGTGTGAGTTTAATCCAAAACTCAGTTAACGTCCATAACTTCCTCATGTTATGTCGAAACTCCACCTCGTTTGGACCGAGAGTTCACATTTTTAGTCCCCATCGATTTTACGGTGGAATTAGACAAATTTCCTCAAGGGTATAATAGTCATTTTGACTTTTGGGAAGAGCGGGGTGTAACACGCTATACTACGCTTTAGGAAGTGGTTTCACTTGGCCAATTCCTGGAGTGACAGTAGAGTCGAGTCAAGTTTTTGGCGCCGTTGCCGGGGACGGCTAGGTTGTTGAAGAAAAGTGATTTCTGTTAATTTAGCCTTTCTTTTTTGCCTTGTTTGCTTTGTCCCACTTGTGCCTTCACGGGTTTGCTTGCTTGCGTGTGTGCAGGTAGTGCATGACCCGTAGCCAGTCGGGAGGTTTACTGCCGTTGAATCCAGAGAATGACCGCACCTGTCGCCAGCTCAGGAGACAACAGCGAGCTAGACTGGCTACGGAAGAGCGCATAGACGGCCACCTGAGTAGCGATTCTGAAGAAGAGCACGGAATGGACGGAGATTACAATCAGCACCAGGGGAATCCTCAGCAGGTTCCCCCGGTGAATCAGGTCCTGGGGAACAACCCCATACCCCAGGATCATGGAGTTCATCATCCATCGCAGCCGGGTCCCACCTTGGAGTACTACTACACTCCGCGGATTGCTGACATCCGCCCGGTCATCCTCTACCCGCCTATCCCAGCAAACAACTTCGAGATCAAGCCATGCTGGATTCAGCTCATTACATCTTCCATCCAGTTCCATGGCTTGAAGGATGAGGAGGCCAGGGTACATCTCTCCCGTTTTCTGCAGCTGACGAACGGGTTCAAGCTGAATGGTGTCCCGGATGATGCAATCCGCCTTCACCTCTTCCCCCATTCTCTGGCGGGGAATGCTAAGAGGTGGTTGGAGACCCAGCCCCCATTGTCCATCACCTCTTGGGACGATCTGGCTGACAAGTTCGTGCACAGGTATTATCCAACATCGAAGACTACAGAGATCCAGCGGGAGATCACTCACTTCCGCCAAGAGCCAGATGAGTCACTTCGGGATGCTTGGGAGCGATACATGGGCTATTTCTGGCAGTGCCCCCATCATGGCTTCAGCGATGCATTCACTGTGGGGAACTTTTACAGTGCCCTCTCTCCAGATAGCTAGAGGGTGATTGAGTCTTTATGCCCAGGAGGGGATGTTCTCACTAAGACTCCACCAGAGCTGAACCAGATGATTAATACATTGGCTGCCAGAGATCATTCCTGGGGGCAGAGTAGCAGAGGCAGACATTCCAGGGACCGTGGTGTGCACGCCATGGAGTCCAGATCCGGACTCGAGCAGCAGGTAGCTGAGCTGGTGCAGACATTCAAGCAGCCCAACAGTCTGATTCCGGGCAGAGGTTTGGCTACACCTCCAGTAGCTCAATGTCAGTGGTGTGAGAGCTCCAATCACCTAGTGGTGGACTGCTAGGCTATGAGGAAGTCTACCACACCCCAGGAGCGGTTGGCCTTCATCGCCAATGCGCGGCGCCTCGATCCATACAGTAGCACATATAATGAGGGGTGGCGTCAACATCCCAACTTCTCCTGGAGCAGCAACACCACTAAACCACCTGGTTTCCCAGCACCAGCAGGTGGTTTTCGGCAGAGGCAGCCCTTCCAGGCTCGCCAGGGGCCAGACCCACAGCAGCAGCCCTACCAGCCTAGGCAGGGGCAGCCATTCCAGCAGCCCCAGCGCCAGTTTGCCGAGCCAGCAGCAGCTCCAGCCCCAGATGACAGGATGACGAAGCTGGAAAACATTCTAGCTTCATTCATGACGAGCACTCAGGCGACTATCACGAGGTTGGACCAGAGTGTAGCCTCACTAGAGGCAGGTCAGAGGAACCAGGGTGCCATTTTGCAGGATCTGCAGACCCAGGTGGGCATCTTGGCCCGCCAGACCACCACCAGGGCACCGGGGACTTTGCCTGCCACCACTGTCCCGAATCCTCGAGATCCTCACCAGCATCAGCAGCTGGATGCCATTTTTACCAGGAGCGGTAAGACCATATCTGCTGATCCTGTCCCGGCCAGACAGGAGGTACCACTGACTGCTTCAGCACTTCCAGCCGACGATGCAGAAGTGCGGGTGGAGAAGGAAGCCCCTGCTCCTAAGCCACAACCAGTGGTCAAGGAGCATGTACCCCAGCTTCCCTTCCCCACTCGCCTACACAAAGACAAGCTGGAGACTGAGTTTGCCAAGTTCATGGCAATGTTGAAGCAGCTCAACATTAGCATACCGTTCGTGGAGGCACTGTCGAAGATGCCCAAGTATGCCAAGTTCATGAAAGATCTCTGCACCAACAAGAAGAAACTTGGGGATCTCTCGACAGTGTTGCTGAGCGAGGAGTGTTCTGCTATCCTGCAGAACAAGCTGCCCGAGAAGCGCAAGGATCCAGGGAGTTTTACTATCCCTCTTACTATTGGCAGCATGCATGTAGGCAAGTCCTTGGCGGACCTAGGTGCTAGCATAAACGTCATGCCATATAAGTTGTATAAAATGCTAGACCTAGGTGAACTTAGCCCTACTAGGATGAGCATTCAATTAGTTGATCGTTCTATTGTGCATCCTAGGGGAATCATAGAGGATCTGCTTGTTGGTGTTGGTGCATTCACATACCCTGTTGATTTTGTTATTCTTGATATACATGAGGATGTGGATGTGCCTTTGATTCTAGGTAGGCCATTTCTTGCCACCGCCAAGGCACTTATTGATGTGCATGATGGTAAACTGATCTTGCGTGCTGGGAATGAACAGGCTACTTTTTCTGTGACTGAATTTGATCACTGTGCTATGATTGCTGTCACGCCTGTACATGCTAGGTCTGATCAGGTACACGAGCCTGTCGTGTATCCTTCTGCACCTCCTATTTTGCAGGACCCTCCTATCATTCCTTCGCCGCCATGCCATCCAGCCTCGCCTCCGAACAAAAAGCTCAAGGAGGAGTGGCGGCCGAAGCAGCAGGTTGCTAAGCCTGCACGGAAGAAGAGTGGAGACCACTATGAGCTGGTCCCACCTCCTGCACCACGACCACCCTGGCCGTCCGGGTACTCACTCGCCTGCATCTTGCCAGATGGGCAGGTCGAGCTGACTGATGAGGGTGGTCGCATCCGTCGGGTGCATGGCCACAACCTCAAGCTGTACCTCAAGAGCGACGTGGATCCGCTCTTGGAGGCACCTGTTCCTGCACCGCCCTGAGTATCCACCATGGGCGTCCATCTAAAAGACGATAAAGAAGCGCTTGTGGGGAGGCAACCCCACCACAGTTTGATTTTCTTTCTTGTGTTTTGAGTCGGATTGTAACCCGGTTTGGGTTTGGTTTGTTTCTCTTTTGGTTTGGATGATATTTTATTGGGCTGACCATTGAACCTAACATATTGTGTTTGAGCTCTTCTGTTTCCCTTTGGATGTGCTTGCCCCGACTGGCCCGTTTCCAGTCTCCTGCAGTCCGTTCATATCGGTAACATCGTTCCCCTTTTCTTTCCCTCTTCTCCATTGAGGGCAATGTCGATCTTAAGTGTGGGGGGATGTTTATCTTTTGATTGCATTAGATCTGTTTGTGTGCTTGGAGCCTAGTCCACTGTCCAAATTTTTAAAATTTGAGGGCTCCACGTACGTGTTCCTTGCAATTGCCTGCTCAGTATGCTTTGAATTGACAGTCTTTATAGTAATATGCAACCTAGGGAGGTAGTGTAGCACTATGGAGGATGTTGATGCATTTAAGAAGTCTCATTGCTTCTTCATATTGTGTTGGTTGATTGAGTGAATTAGTGATCTTAGGACCCTTGAATTGTGTGGTGTTGTGGATTCTCTACCTGTCATGGACTCTTGTATCATGTTTTGAGTTTAACAGGTGCTCGAAAATGTACTTCAAAATAACGTCTCCCGTGCGAATAGGGCGAAAGTGTGTAAGGGGAGACGGGAATTCGTTCCCAATTTCCACCTACTACCTCCAGCCCCCTTACATGTCTTTCCCCCGCACGAGGCTCGAGACATCCGCTCCTGGCATGGCCGGTAAGAGCAGGTTGGGATCCTTGAAAAGAAAAAAAGAAAGGAAAAAATATAACAGAAAACAAGCAAAACAGAAAGAAAAGGGGTTCCAACCATCTTCAAAGAAAATAGAGCACCTTGAAAAATGTGAGTCCATGATTCTTTGTTTTTGAGAATCTCTTCATCCACAATTCATTTGTCCTCTGTTCACTATTTGCCATGATGCCGACTTGCCGAAGAAGTTATGAGATGACTTGTGCGTCGGTTGACCTCGTAAGCTGCTAAATGATCTAGGAAGTCCTCTACCTACGATATGGGTTGTTTGTTGCTATAGAGGTCTGGAGAGTTGCATTGGTTTGAGTTAGGTTTGCTTGGGGACAAGCAAACGGTTAAGTGTGGGGGAGTTTGATAGACCGTTAGTTACACATGTTTTCACCCCTGTTCTTACACCGTTGGAGATGTGGTTTCTCGTGTTTTAGACCGATTTCACGCTAGGTTGTGCTTGTTTGTGATATTTCAGGTCCTGGCAAGTGAATGAAGGTTTAGGAGCGAGTTCGGGGTCGATTGGGCGAAGATCGGGCGCGAGGCAAGTCACAAAGGAGGTCACACGGGCTGCCCTGATGTTCACACGGCCGTGTGAAGGAATGGCCTGGCCGTGCGAGTTTTGCCGAGAGCACACACGGGCAGAGCAGACAATCCACACGGCCGTGCAAGTGGCCGGGTTGGCCGTGCCACATTCTGCGAGAGCAAACACGGGCAGGAAGGAGAGTTCACACGGCCGTGCCATTCTGGCCTTGCAAAGAGCCTGGAATTCAACTAAGTGATACGCTGCGTTTTGACTCACATGGGCAACTGGGTGAGCTGCACGGCCGTGCCACCCTGGCCGTGTGAGTCGGGGTTTTCTTCTTTTAAGCAGATTTTCAGCCACAATTCGTGGGGGATTCGAGTTTTTGAGAGATAGAACGACTTCTAGAGAGAGAAAGTGACGAGCAAGAGTTCCCAAGTGCCCTAGATTGATCTTCAACACCATTGGAGGCCAGCTTGAGCTTGGAGAAGTGCCAATCAACGTCCAGAAGCAGGAATCCATCCTTCGCAATATGAATTCCGTGTCTGATTCTGCTTTTGCTTTCTTCGCCATGGAGTAGTTCTCCCATTCATCTGGGTATGGAGAACCCTAGATTTGTATGTTAGGCTTTGATTGTATGAACCCAAGTACTGCTTCTATACTCCGGTAGTGGAGGTTTCGTTCTTAGGGCCTCAATCTGTCTACTCCGGTGGAGGTTAGTCGCCCGCTAGAGATTCAGATTGAGAGGGTCTGAAGACCTTTAGTCGAGACTTCTGGCTGTTTAAGAACCTTCCGCAGTATAACTTTCATAGAAACTGAACTTGGTAATTACAATCCGGCTTAACTGCAGTCTAGGGGGAACCATATCCAGGTGACCTCTTTAACCTGAATACAACCGTTTACCTGCTTTGTTAGTTTGATAGTTTAGACTTGCATTCCAGTTTCATTGCTAGATAACACGAATTCACTGAGTAGTCATCATATCTAGGACCCGGGTTGATAATTAAACCCAAACCTGCTATACTACGCTTTAGGAAGTGGTTTCACTTGGCCAATTCCTGGAGTGACAGTAGAGTCGAGTCAGCTTTCCTCCCTTCAGCCACGTGGTGGCCCATCTTTTGTTGCATGGCCTGCATGGTTGGGCTCCCTTGGTTTCTTCCTCTCACGAGCCTTCATAGGCTCATCATATTGCCATTCATAGACATATCTCATATCATTTTCATGTGCACCCACAACCTGCTTCTCTAGAACCTGAAATGAATCCCTTTGATCTCATACACCTATTCCTCAAAGCCCCATGCAGCCTGATGACAACTCACACTAGGCTTGCTTTTATCAATTTGATGCACTATTGGTAGTATTCCGTGTGTTTTCAGGTCATAGAAACCTGGTGGGCCGCTTTGAAAGTGATGGGGGACATCAAAACTTAAATACTAGGAGCCGTAATTGAGTTTGGAGAAAAGTAATAAAACTGAGTCAAAATAGTTGTTCATTTACAAAAAAATGCATCTCTGGCAGCATGTTTAGGGCATCCAGAGTTCGCCTCGATTCGCACAAAATATTCCATACATGGTGGCTAAGCTGGAGAAAATCGACTAGGACTTGGAAAATATATTGAACACTGACTTTCCCTCCTTAGAAAATCTAGGAAAAGTCTATAAATATACTCCTAAAGGATAGAAGATCTATAGCAGTGATAAGAGGCGTTTGAGGTCGTCACTCTGACGATAGAGTGACGCACCCGACCAAGAGTGAAACCGACTACAAAGGCCAAATCGACACCAAACTTGGCTGCCTAGTCCTAGTTTATCTGTTTGGTCGCCGATTTGTGCTAGAAAATGGCAACCTTATTTATGATTTTTTTGGTTATGGCTTGATATGATCACAATAGGATCAATCAGAGGTTACAATTGCTTGTCCGAGAAGGAAACTCAACCATGGAAAAGCACCCTGAAAATTGTCTAAGTCATTTGGCTGATTCAAGATGCCAGGTTTGCACGTCTGGATCTTCTTGTTGGATTAATGAAAATGCGAGATTAAGGTCTTGGGTTGAAGATGGAGACTTTTTATTGCCATTGATGTGCTTTGGCGCTCAATTGGAAACCAAGAAGGGTGGTTTTCAGATCGATCAAGTTGTTGCCTCAACATGGAAGAAACTGCTGGAAAACGCTAAGCGTGGGAGCCAGTTCGGGAATGAGTTTTGGAAGCTTCACTCGAAGAGTTGGAATGACAGTCGAGCTTCAACGTTCATACCTCACGAAAGTATGCGTTCTCTAATACAACGATGAGGAATTGGTTGATCACACTAATGCTTGGAAGGACTCGAGCAAAGGGGCTGAAGTTCGAGTCGACGATGAAGATGCTGACTGGAAGAGCAAGGAATCTGAATCCTATTCGGATTAGGATTAGTGACCAGTTTGATTTGTTTACCTTTTTTGATTTGAATTCGTTTTCCTTTTGAGTTGTAACTAGTTTAGGATGTTGATTACTTGCTTTGTAAGTTTCATTAGCCTATTTAAACTCAGTTTGCGATGTAATAGTTAGTTTTTTTTTCAATTAAAATTCACAAACGTCAAGTTTGGTTTAATAAGGTTTTTGCTTGTGAATTGCGAGGTCAATCTAGTCGATTATGGGTTGGTTCTCGAGCTTAGAGGTGGAAATTGGGGTGGGTATGGTTACCCGCCCCACATTTTGTGGGTAACCACATCCAGAAATATAGAATTATGCTACCCACAACCAGCCCCACAGTGGGTAGTGGTTAACCACTATCCACTGCGGGTTGGTGCAGGTTGGATGTGGATAACCACAAAAAAATTTCCTTCCTTCACCCTTTGGATTTGTATATGATAAACCTATCGGTCGAGTGACGACAAAAAAAAACACATTGAGTTAAAACTAAGTAAAAAAGCCTAAGACATGGAACGAGCGAGGATCCGGTATTCGGAACCTCTTAAGTAGTCAACCTCCCTCTCCTCGGTTCACTTCACTAGCTTACATGTCAATTCACTTTCTTTAGGAAATGCGTATTGATAACAAGTATATGGGTTGGAAGGGATCTAATCTAAGTATGCATATCATCTTTATCAACGACATGACTCATTTTCTTTTTTATTCGAATTTTTTAGTTATAAATGAAATTCTCTCTCGAGTTGCGGAATTAGCGTCTTCTTACACAAAAACAAAAACCTACATAAATAGAGTTAATAAAGTGCTAAATAAACTATAAACCACATTTATTGGCTTTGTTTTGTTATAAAATAAACATATATCACGGGGACAATGCTTATTTAATAAAAGTATATCATACGAACACTGTGTATTGACTTGTTTTTGTTTTATAAATAAGTATATATTTGATTTTGGAGTCTACTTAATTTGTAGCATTCTACTTTTCACATACTTTTATATTACAAAGTATTATTAATAAATAAATATACTTAGTGTGGTTATTGTGGGTTAACCGCTGTGGATAGTGGTTAACCGCTAACCATAAAAATTAATATTTTGCTACCCACACCCAACCCACTATCCACAAATTTCCCTACTCGAGCTTGTATCAACTAGGTACTCACCCTAGTTGTGGCCAAGCCTCGACTGATACTTGTCGAGCTTCCTTTCATTCGTGAAGGCTGCACGAGAGTTCCATCCGAAAACAAAGAACCAAAACTCTGTTTTGGTGTGCTGTCGATCGAACTTCAATTCAGTGTAAGGATCAAGGGTTGGTTACTTGATTCTGAATCAAACCTCCCATCTATGGAGTTATCAAGTGGTAATAAGAGCCCAGTTCACAAACAATGGATTGGACGAAGACGCACGTTGCTGGAAAAATGCGCTGGACGCGATCGAAGGGTTCCGTTTCCGACGACCCTGAAACTATATGCCAGAAACCAGAGGAAGAAGAAGAGGTTGAGGTCGAGGCCTTAACAATGACGGGACAACAAGTTTACATCGATGAATTAATGCGGTGATTTGACACGAGCCATGATCAATTCAGGCAGGAAATCAATCAAAGGATTGACGCTATAGCCCAGCTGGAGAACAGAGTTCGAGAGAGGGAAGTTCCCGGCGATGCAATCCCAGCAGGTAATCCGGAGGTGCTGGATAGGATTGAGGATTTGGAATCATAACCCCATCACGACCGACCCCGTCGAGAGCGACACGAGAATCGTGAAGCTGAGCCGCCGGCGATCCCATCCGGGATCAAACTGACCGTCCGGGCGTTTCAGGGCACGATCAATGCTTTGGAATACTTGGACTAGGAGCGGACGATGATCCTCTTCTTCCAGTGCGGGAATTATATAAAGCAGGAAAAGGTAGCTCTAGCCACCTTCGAATTTACAGACTACGCTGCTCAGTGGTGGGGAAGAATTCGTCTCCGACGATGGCAGAACTTGCAGCAAGAGGTGACGGACTGGGAAGAGCTACATGGATTAATGCGCGATCGATTCATGCCGGCGTACTATTAGAGGGAGCTCCACGAATCGTTGCAAGCGATTCGACAAGAAGGACGGAGCGTGGAGGAGTACTTTCGTGAATTGGAGCTTCTCCTAATGAGAGCTGATGTGCGAGAAGACAGGGAGGCGACAATCGCTTGATTTCTCCATGGATTGCATCAAGAAATCATGCAAGAAGTCGACTTGAGGTCCTTTGTAGACCTAGAAGAAGCCTTGCACCTTGCCATCAAGATCGAGAAACAGCAAAAGGGGGTGACTAGCAGGAAGTTTGCTCCGGCGAACAAACAAAGAGTCAAGGTGGTGGGTGAATCCAATTTGACTCAAACACGGCCTGAACTAACCAAACGTGTTACCAGGAGCTCAAACCCAGCTCCAATCGAGCGTTCTGGAGGGATCCAGTGCTTCAAGTGTCACGGCAAGGGCCATAAGGCTAACCAGTATCCCAATGTAAAGACCCTGATACTCCGAGATGGTGCTTACCTCACTGACGAAGAACAATCCAGCTCCAGTGACAAGGAGAATGACAAGGAAGAGATCGAGATGGAAGATGCCCCACCTGGAAAGCTTCTAGGAGTTAGTAGGAGGGCCCTTACTCTTGAGCAGGACCAAGACAGAGCCAGCGGGAGAATTTGTTTCGCTCTCGCCGTATTGTGAAAGGTAAAATCCTCTCGTTGATAGTTGATGGAGGGAGTTGTGAAAACGTCATTAGTCAAGACACGGTGGATAAGCTCGGATTGAGCACAACAAAGCACACTGAACCCTACATTTTGCACTGGTTAAACGACTATGGGGCAATTCGGGTGACAAAGCAGGCCAAAGAACACTTCGAAATCGGAGGATATAAAGACGAGCTTGAATTTGATGTGGCTCCGATGCAGGCAGCTCACATACTGTTAGGGAGACCTTGGCAGTTCGATCGGAGAGTCTGCCATTACGGCGGCACAAACCAGTATAAGGTCCGGCATCCAGGGAAGCAATATATGCTCCAGCCACTATCGCTAGAGGAGGTGATGTAAGACCGGAGACAAATGGAGGCCAGTCGGCGACATTCGAAGGTCATACCCAGTGGGGAAGGTTTTGAGGATCCTCGTGGACTGATGCTTAGTAGGTATAAGAAGGTGAGGAAGGTTCGACGTCGACGACCCTGTAAACCGCCGCTGGAGCAGGGCATGAGAGAGGGTGAGTTAGCCGAAACAACTGGTGAAGGTTCGAACCTATCTGCGACTGCAGACACGATGCAAGACACCTCAGAAGGCTCGTCCGCACCCTCGACTGAAGTGGTTATTCCTCCAGTGCTGGATCCAAGTTGATCTAAAAATGCTCTGAAAATGGCGAAACATGACAAAAAATCGAGCCTATTGGTTGGGACGACTGGGAGTGATTCGACAGAAATGGCTGGTGTAGGATTGTTGGGTATGATCCCAGGAAGCTACAAACACGAGCTGATTTGCCCGAAGATGCCTAAAATAAAAACACCCAAATCAAATTTGGCCATTTTGGGTTCTGGAAATTCGAAGTTCGTCGATGGCGGGAAACTTCAAATCATCGATTCGATGGCCACCGTGATGAATCGGGATGGGTGGCTGGGTCAGAAACTTAATTGGGACCATGATAGAGATCATGGGTACACTAAATTAGACTGGGCATGCGTGAATCAAAAAGCCCCAATTTCGAGCACGAAGAACATTACTTCGATTTCCCAGAAGTGCCAGTTTGGGACCCTCTTTGTCGATCCAATTTGGGATCGATTTTGTTATACATTTGAGGAAAGGAGGGCCAAAGTTTTGTGGGAAACTTTTTCAAGAGGGGGGGGGCTTGATATGATCACAATAGGATCAATCATGAGGTTTCAATTGCTTGTCCGAGAAGGAAACTCAACCATGGAAAAGAACCCTGAAAATTGTATAAGTCATTTGGCCAATTCAAGATGCCAGGTTTGCACGTCTGAATCTTCTTGTTGGATTAATGAAAATGCAAGATTAAGTTCTTGGGTTGAGGATCGAGACTTTTTCTTGCCATTGATGTGCTTTGGTGCTCAATTGGAAACCAAGAAGGGTGGTTTTCAGATCGACCAAGTTGTTGCCTCAACATGGAAGAAACTGCTGGAAAATGCTAAAGTGTGGGAGCCAGTTCGGAAGGAGTTTTGGAAGCTTCGCTCGAAGAGTTGGAATGAGAGTCGAGCTTCAACGTTCATACTCACGTAAGTACACGTCTCTAATACAACAACGAGGAATTGGTTGATCGCACTGATGCTTGGAAGGACTCGAGCAAAGGGGCTGAAGTTCGAGTCGACGATGAAAATACTGACTGAAAGAGCAAGGAATCAGAATCCTATTCGGATTAGGATTAGTGACCAATTTGATTTGTTTACCTTTTTTGAGTTGAATTTGTTTTCCTTTTGAGTTGTAACTAGTTTAGGATGTTGATTACTTGCTTTGTAAGTTTCGTTAGCCTATTTAAACTCAGTCTGCGATGTAATAGTTAGTTTTTTTTTCAATTAAAATTCACAAACGTCAAGTTTGGGTTCATAAGGTTTTTGCTTGTGAATTGCGAGGTAAATCTAGTTGATTCTGGGTTGGTTCTCGAGCTTGTATCCACTAGGTACTCACCCTAGTTGTGGCCAAGCCTCGACTGATACTTGTCGAGCTTCCTTCCCTTGGTGAAGGCTGCACGAGAGTTCCATCCGAAAACAAAGAACCAAAACTCTGTTTTGGTGTGCTGCCGATCAAACTTCGATTTAGTGTAAGGATCGAGGGTTGGTGACGTGATTCTGAATCAAACCTTCCATCTAGAGAGTTATCATGGGTGCAGATTTGGAGGGTTTTCTAAGGATCTCATTTTGAATGATGTACCCCTAGAAACACGTCCCCATGGCCTGCTAGTTTCATAGTTTGGCAAACCATAGAGATTTTTGGACTGTGTAACCTTTTATTGTACATTATATATGATGATTTGATTTTATTTATCTTTCTGTATGTTTTCTATGCTTGATTTATTGTCAATTCGATTGTGTGCATAAGACGAGGAATGTCTTCAAAGGATATATCCTCCTATCCGACTTTGTGGATGGATGAGATTGGAAACGAGTCCTTCACAATTGATCATCAATCGATTAAACTGCACAGACTTCATCAAAGGAGAAATCCTTAGGGTCACCATTGTTGCCTACTAGATATGGTAAATGCCATGACACTTGGTAGGAAGAAAACCAACGAGTGTCAAACATTCATATGTAACAAGAACCAATTGTTGATTCTTGGTTGTATCTTATATGTAGAGGTGTTTCTCCAATATGTATGGGTGGATGTGATAGGAATGAAGCTCTCGAATACAATATACGTTTGCAAGCAGGCTTATTGCATACAGTGACATATGCAATCCCTATATCGTTTCTCCCACGTGCCTTGCAAAAGCTTGGAACCCACGATCCCTATCACAAGGGGAAATGATAGGAACCAATGTTGTCAGAATCGAACCGTTGTATGAACCGGTATAGTAAAGGGTTCGCATTTTATTGGTTTCACCGATATTAAGCCGTTATAAACCCGTTATCGAACCGATGTCTAAAAATAAAATTATTATAAGTGAAAACCATTAATAGTATTATAATTATATATTGACTCTAATATATTCCAATAAAAAATTAGATATAACAAGTAAATTTTACCATTGTACAGCAACATTATAACAAGTAAATATTATATATTTATATTATAATTATTCAAGTATAATACGAATGATTTTTAAAAGGTATAAACATTATTTAATGATTTATTTCAAAATTAAACACTGTGAGATTAATTAATAACAAGACTTGTAAGCTTTTTCAACACAGACTAGTTGCAACACTACTGGAAACAGATATAACTTTACAGCAAGAGGTGCAGAGTTCGAATCGCAGCCCTCTCCAATTGATGGAATTTTTGTCCCCAAGATTCTGACCGGTAAAACCGTTGGAGCCGGTCGAACGGTTCGCAGTTTAACTGGTCGGTTCACGTGGAAAAATGAATTTCCAGTCGTAGCGGTTAAATAGCCTGATCGAACCGGATTAGAGGCTGGGTGGCAGTTTCACTGGTCGGACTGGCCGGTTCGGTCCGGATTTGACAACACTGATAGGAAAAAAGTTCCTATCGGATTTGATATTTGGGAATTAGGGTTTATACGAACACAATTAAGGATTGAGATTGGGAAATGGAAAAGAAGAAGAGCAGAATCGGCCTAGGCCTTAGAGGGATCGAAAATGAGAATTGAGAGGATAAGGAGATTTCTTAATATTCTTCTTATTGATCTGAATGAATAACCCAAATACATATTTATAGAAAAATAGCTAGAAAACCTAATAATAAACCTAATTCTACTAAAAGACTACTAACCATATCTAACAATATCCTAATATTAATAATAAAAACAATTATGGAAACCCTAGGAAAATCGGTTTCCATCATCCCCTCCCCCTTGAGACCAACCTTTCCCTCAAGGTTGATCAACTCGTCTTACATCTTCACCTTTTCTGCAAGATCCGCGCATCGATTGCGTCGTTTCTTGCATTTCGTTTTCTTCCAATCGTGCTCCACTACCCGAACGAGTTCTTTCTCGGCCACCTTCACTTCAGCTCTCAGCCCACTTAATAAGCTGAGCGCTGGTCCGCACACAAGCTTCTGTTCGGCCCAAAGCACTTCAAGACTCGGCCCCTGGCTAAGACCTAGGTTGGCCCAAATTTCTCCCCGATTCGACCAACTCCGCTGGCATATCTTCAAGCTACTCCGATGGTATTGCAAGCCCAACGTGAACCCATGAGAAAACCTACCCAACCCTGGTTTTGGCGTTCACAAACGACCTTCGTGGGGGAAACATCGCCACAGCTACTCGCACGAGAGAGGGATGCAGTCGCAAGCTTCCTTCTCCGACTTTGTTTTGCATCCACGGTGGAGCCCGCCGGTAAACTCTGCCAACGACAACTGGATCTGCGAACTCCTTATCTCGGCGATTGGAGTTGTCGGAGATCGTGACTTCATCTCCCCGAGCTCCGCCCCAAGTCTCGCCTCCTCTCCACCCAGAATTTCTGCCTCAGCTTCATCCTTGGCGATCCCTTCCGGAACTGCCACCTTCGCCTCCGCGTCGGCCAAAATTTTCTCCTCCGCTTCTTCCAATGCCGTGGAAACGACGTCCTTCAGCCTTGCCAAAGGTCCCGTACCCGCCTGGACTGCTGCAATGGCAGCCGTCGAGCCGCCAACCGCCGCCTTCTTCTTCTTACCCAGATGGCTTTGAGTGTCGCCTCCAGCTAGTTCAACAGTTCCTTAACCGTGAGTCTTGACGTACTCATCGGGGCTCTGATTGGTAAGAAGCAGACCCTGGTTGATAGTTGTGACGAACTGCTCTCAGAACTAGGCTCTGATACCAAATGATAGGAACAAAATTTCCTATCGGGTTTGATATTTGGGAATTAGGGTTATTGGTGCTCCAAAACACAACACCAATCTGCGACCAAGTGTAATCGCAGACCGGGAATGCAGTAACAGGCAAGTTATATTATCAACCCGGGCTCTAGATCTACTGCTTACTCAGTGATTCTCTGTTATCTAGCCAACTAAAGTAAGTGATTGTTGTTTAAACTAAAAGCAGAAATAAAGCAGGAAATTGTTCGGTTTTCTTAAGCAGGAAAGAGTCACTCGGGAATGAATCCCCCTAGCTCTTTAGTTAGGTTTCAATTGCAATTTACCCGGGGTTGATTTACTGTTGATTAAACTGCGGAAGATCCGACAGTAGCTTGGGATCTCTTAAGCTGACCAAGCCCTCTCAGTCTAACTACCCGGCAGACGACTAGTCTTCACCGGGATAGAAAGCTGAAGCAGTAAGAACAGAAATTCACTACTGGAATTAGATTCCAGTACAAAGCAGTAAACTGGCTAACTCTCGTATAACCAGTCTCCTACTATCGAATGATGAGACTCTAGCATCCTAATCAGATTCTATCTATCTCAGATTGCAGCAGGAATCAGGAAAAGTTTATCAGACTTCAATTGACTCAATAAACATGCATCATTCGATTAAAATCAAACATTAATATCATCCCAAGTCATTACAATCAATCCCCTAACACATAGAACTAGGGTTCTTCATCCCCAAGTGAGAGAGAGGTTCTACTCCATAGAGAGAGAAAAGAAAACAGTAATCGGAGTAGTCATACTCATAATGATGAGGATAATCTGCTCCGGGATGATGATTTCCACTCCTAGGACGATCTCCAAGGTTGATTTGATGAAACCCAGCTCCAAGACAACTTCTAGGATGTGTTCTTCGTACTTTCTCTCTCTAGGGCTCTGTTTTTGCTCCAGAAATTCGATCCCCCCACTTCTGGCTCGGATTAGGCTTTAAAAACCGGGTTTTCCCGAGTTGCACGGCCAGGGTGCACGGCCGTGCACCTCACCATTCTGGCCGTGCACCCTGAAACGCAGCGTATCCCTTAAGTCGAACTCAGGCTTCTTGCACGGCCAGGTGCACGGCCGTGCAATCTTCAGGGCCTGCCCGTGCAGCTCCTCGGCATGAGGCGCACGGCCAGCTTGCAACCGTGCACGGCCGTGCAGCCTCCCTGGTATGCCCGTGCAGCTCCCAAAAACCTCGCCACTCGTCCGTTCTTCGTCCAATCGACCCCAGACTCGCTCCTAAGCCTTCATTCACGTACTAGGACCTGAAATATCACAAACAAGCACAACCTAGCGTGAAATCGGCCTAAAACACGAGAATCAACACCTCAAACGGTGTAAGAACGGGGGTAAAAACATGTGTAAATGACGGTCTATCAGTTATACAAACAGAATTAGGGATTGATATTGGAATTGGAAAAGAAGAAGAGCAGAATCAACCTAGGCCTTAGAGCAATCGAGAAAGAGAATTGAGAGGATAAAGAGATTAGGGTTTAGGAGATTTCTTAATATTCTTCTTATTGATCTGAATGAATAACCCCAAATACATATTTATACGAAAATAGCTAGAAACCTAATAATAAACCTAATTCTACTAAAAGACTACTAGCCATATCTAATAATATTCTAATATTAATAATAAAATAACTATGAAAACCCTAGGCAAATCGATTTCCATCATCCCATCCCCCTTGAGACCAACCTTGACCTCAAGGTTGATCAACTCGTCCCATGTCTTCACCTTTTCTGCACAATCCGCGCATCGACTGCGCCGTTTCTTGAGTTTCCTTTTCTTCCAATCATGCTCTACTACCCGAACGAGCTCTTTCTCGGCCACCTTCACTTCAATCCTCAGCCCACTTAATAAGTTGAGCGCTGGTCCGCACACAAGCTTTTATTCGGCCCAAAGCACCTCAAGCCTCGGCCCCTGGCTAAGTCCTAGGTTGGCCCAAATTTCTCTCTGATTCGACCAACTCCGCTGGTATTGCAAGGCCAACGTGAACCCACAAGAAACCCTACCCAACCTTGGTTTCGGCCCTCGCAAATGGATTTCGTGGGGGAAACATCGCCGCAGCTACTCTCACGAGAGAGGGATGTAGTCGCCAGCTTCCTTCTTCGGCTTTGTTTTGCATCACTGGTGGAGCCTGCCGCTAAACTCCGACAAATGTATCTTTGAGCTCCTTATCTTGGCGATTGGAGTTGTCGGAGATCGTGACTTCATCTCCCCGAGCTCCGTCTTGAGTCGCACCTCCTCTCCACACACAATTTCCGCCTTGGCTTCCTTCTTGGAGATTCCTTCCGGAACTGCCGCCTTCGTCGCCGCGTCGATCAGAATTTTCTCCTCCACTTTTTCCAACATTGCGGAAACGGCATCCTTCGGCCTTGACATAGGTCTCATACCCGTCCGAACTGTTGCAAGGGCAGACGCCAAGTGTCACCTCCAGCTAGTCCAACAGTTCCTTAACCACGACTATTAACGTACTCATCGGGGCTTTGTTTGGTAGGAAGCTGACCCTGGTTGAGAGTTGTGACGAACTGCTCTCAGAACCAGGCTCTGATACTAAATGATAGGAACAAAGTTCCTATCGGTTTTGATATTTGGGAATTAGGGTTATACGAACAGAATTAGGGATTGAGATTGGGATTTGGAAAAGAAGAAGAGCAGAATTGGCCTAGGCCTTAGAGGGTTTGAGAATGAGAATTGAAAGGATAAGAAGATTAGGGTTTAAGAGATTTCTTAATATTCTTCTTATTGATATGAATGAATAACCCCAAATACATTTTATAGGAAATAGCTAGAAAACCTAATAATAAACCCAATTCTACTAAAAAACTACTAATCATATATAATAATATCCTAATATTAATAATAAAAATAAAATAACTATGGAAACCCTAGGGAAATCGATTTCCATCAGGAAAGTTGTCAATCAAAACTTAGTAGTATAGTAAGAGGAGACATCCACTGCAGAGACTCTCAAATGGTTGTCAGAGACTTATGTAAATACAATCTTGGTGGTCCGACTAGGTAAATTTGTCTGCTATTACAATAGTGATCAGTACCCTATCCTTGATACTAATAGCAGAGCTCATAATCAATTTCACCCTAGGTCTCTACTCGAGCTCCAATCTACTTATCAATCTTCCACTTTTATAGTCCTGGTAGAAACTAAAGTAATCTATGAAGATGCTCCACCGATGGCTCATTAATCTCGAGCTCCTCCTTCTTTGATTTGCCGGCCATGCCATTTAGAATGTTGGCCTCCTGTTTCCTATGTGTGTTATAGTCTCCTAAGGACTGCTACTCATTGAAAATATTCCTTGATGCGCGCTCGCCTTCTTGCACTACAAGGCTCATTTCTTCTAGGGTGGGCATATTAGTGCCTTGGAGGTGTAACATCTATTGGATCAGCTTGAGGTGGATCGTTTAATCGTAGCTGGCGAGAAGATGATGCTTCATCAACCCTATTCTTGCCTTTGTGATGTCCTAGCATTCTATCCATCATCTTTCTAAATCTTGCATCCACATAGTATTGAGCCAAATGAGTATATAAAAGAAATTTTCACCCTAAACTTTAAATCTTGGCTTCTTCTGTGTGCTAATTGTGTGAAACTTCTAAGATAATCAATCATAAAATAGGTTTCACTTATGGTATAAACATCTATTCTAAAATTTCATCATATGATCAATCGTAGAATATGTTACAATGGTAGAACCATCTATTCTAACGTTGCAAGCAATCACTCAAGATATTTTACAGAATCAATCGATGGTTCATGCATAAGAATGATTAAGTTATTTGGCACAAGTAGGATATGATTTAATCGAAACAATTAATCATAAAAGTTTTCAATAAATTAGACATTATATCATTCAAAAACATAAAAGCACATCATTGCGTGAAATTTTGGCTTTTGACCTTTGTTAAAGTTTATGGGCTAATAGCCTAATACCATTACAACACCCGAACTATGTACAAAATCCTACCACCACCCAACCTTTCACCACCTCCACCGCCGAACCAAAATCGATTTAAGGAAGAAGCTTTCCTTTCTCCGTCTGCTCTTCGACTGTTTGCCAGTCCTCTTTAAACAGTGCCGACACAAGTCTTCCCCCAATTCTCGTCTCTATTCTCGGTATCTAGTATCTACCATTCCTTCCCAAAATTTTCAGAACCAGAACCCATCTCTGTCTTTTTTCATCCTTTCTCACCCCAAATCTCCTAACCATCCTTCCTCACCCAAATCTCACACCTTACTCCTCATTGCACTCCATTAAAACCTAGGAATTCTAGATTCCAATCGGTGGAACTCATTGTCTTGGCCATAACCCATTCATTCTGATTGTGACCGATAATTTTAAACAGACCGAAATACTCATGGCTCCGGAGCCGACCGAAACAGTGTTAAAAAAATCTCAATCAAACAAATAAATCCAAGTATTTTCCACAAGAAATTCAAACGAAATGCCCTAAACAGTTTGGCGACCCAAATCCATAGTAAACAAAACCACCCAAGCTCAAAACATCAAAAACCGTGAGGGTCGCGGCCCAAAGCGGACAATATGTTCGTCGGGAAAAGGTTCGGGATGTTACAAGTGGTATCAGAGCCTCTCCGCATCCCTCTTGAATGATGGTGGGGAAAACCTCAACGAGTGCATTGAGTCCCAGAGGGGTGTATGTAATACCTTAGACAAATCCCACATCGATAAAGCACGGGAGAGATCCATGATTCATAAGTAAGAAACCGACCTTAACTGACAAGACACGTTTTGGGGTGTAATGGAAAAGTGCTTGTGAGAAATCTGAAGTTAAACGTGCTCAGTGTGGAGTACAACAAGGATGGGTGACCTTATGGGAAGTCACCTTGAATTGCACCTCAAGTCGAAAATCGTGAGGGTCGCGGCCCAAAGCAGACAATATCTTCGCCGGGAAAAGGTTCAGGATGTTACACCTCGACTTCAACCCAAAATTATGATCGACTTAAACTCGTCTGCTCCTGTGCTGCAATATTTGTGAGATAAATATGAAGGGAGGCAAATTAACTTCGAAAATGGAAGAAGAAGAATGTCATTTAAGTTTTTGGTCTTGAATCCCTAAGGCTCCTGGAAGGATACAAAAAGCAGAAGCCAACCATGGATTTGCTTAACCATCACCTTCAACTCAAGTCTGGAGTAGAAGGTCAAAAGGATCTTCATATTGAAGACGAGAGGGAGTAAGGTGGTGGCGGTTGGAGGGTTTGAGATGTGGGGTCGGTGGTGCTCCGAGAAAATTAACAAAGGAGGGAAGAATGGATTTTGTTTAGTTTTTTTATTTGTTAATTTTAATTAAAAATTATTGTGTGTCAATGACGTGGCATCCACATGACTGCCACGTTTTTCCACGCCAATGAAGTCAACATCGCTTTGACCACCATTTGGTCAACAATTAGCTTTGACGGTCAACAAAAATGTCAGGATACAAATGTCACAAAAGTGTCATATGACATGACAGAAATGTAATATTGAACAAAATAGGACATAAATGACATTTTGTTTACAGGTTAGTGTTTTAGTGGTATTAGCCCAAAATTTATCAGTTCATCCAAACTAAATTAGCATCAAAATCCATTTAGCATCCATATCACCACATCCTAAGAATCCTAGCTATCATCCAAGACTAGTAAAGTATTCAATGGCACTCAATATAGCCGAACCAAAGTAAGATCCCTATTGTGCAATTCTACTCATAAAATTCTTAATTAAACTCGATCGTCAACAATACTAGCTACGCCAATCTAGGAAAAGTGCACCATAAATCGGCAAAATAGTATAGTGGTGATTGAGATCGTATTCCAATGGTCATAGTATCCTAGGCTACTTAGGCCCGGTCGTTATCTAGTCAACTTGTTACTTAGTATGTGGGCATTTGACGATTACTGGCCTAGAGTTCGATAAAGAAGAAGATGTAACCTAGGTAACTCCCTCGCCCTAAACTTAGATTATCATGCAAATGACTAACTATGTTGAGTTTGCGGGCTAAGATGCAGAACTCACTCATATGAGGGTTTCAATGATTACTTCCTTCCTCCTAGTACGCTCCCAAAGACCCATTGTCACCTTAGTCAAAGCTACATACTAAGGAATAACCTCTAGCCCCTCTCAATAGGTTCAACCTATCATGCATACTAAAGCGATGGATCGGTGATGCTTGCATCATCTCTATCATTGTCTTAGGAAGGTGTTCCTCTAGCAGGGGTACAATCGCCTCGTCCACTAAATGGATCTCTAAGATCATTCATCTACCTTTAATTAGCCTTAAAGCGCTCAAATCCAGTCTAACCCTAAAACTCCACCTAGTTCTAAGACTCATTTGTAGGCTCGTAGAGAAGAGTTGGAGAGACAAGCCCCATCATAATCAAGCATCAATGAAGCATATAATCACCAAAGCAAAAAAATCCACACACAAACCCTAACACAATCACATCTACATTCAAAATCTAATTCTAGGGTTTGGAGGTTTTAACCCCTAGTACCTTGGAGAACTACCCGTAAAGGGAGAAAAAGATACGTGTAGAGAAATAGAAGAAGACTTGAATTGGGGAGAGCTCCCTTCCTCCTTGATTCCTTCTTCTTCTTCTTCCTTCAACTTTTTTCTATAACCTCACTCTAGAATAAAAATCTTCCAAACGCCATCTTCTCAAGGGGAGGAGTCCTCTAATTATAGAATTTTGAGGAGACGGGCACGGGGCAGCAGATCGCGACCATGATTTGAGGGAGAGAGGCCACGATCTGGGCTTCAGCGAATTTAGTCTTATTTGGCTTTGGAGATCGTGGCCTGACTTCACCGTCGCGATTAGTGAGTCATGGCCGCGATCTTTCTAGCGGAGTGGGATGGTAGGAGTCACGAGTCGACTATCAAGACTCTCTTATCTTCTCTTGACCATTGCATCTTTATATTCCCGCCCTAGGCTCCATTGTTCACAGCCGTGATCTTTAGCTTGAAGGTCGCGATCTTTATGCTCTGCTCGCGCCCTTACATCTCGGTCGTGATTTTCATTCATTCAACCGCGAACTCCATTTTGGCTTCTTTTTCTACACTTGTGACCCCATTTCGTGCCTAAAATATTTATATCATCTAATACACACTAAAATTCAAATATTTCCTCCGATGAACTAATAAAGGGTATATTTGACGATATATAGACTGTGAAGACCATGAAATGACAAAAATGAACCTAAATATGGGCTCTAAATAACACCATTTTAGGTGTTATCAACTACTAATTTGAATTTAATAAAAACAATTTAGGAAAAATTGAAAATATAGTTGTGTAGCCATAAATTTGTCCTTCATACAATTATATCCACGTTTAAAATTA